CGCCGAACGGTGTTCCGTAGACAGCATACGGAGATACGGTTGAAGGAGTCACGAAGATGGAGCGCTCGGTGCAGTCTCCTCCGGCCTTGATGATCGTTCCAGCGCCAATGGAGAGGTCGTCTTCAATAGCATAGCTGACGTATTGGCTGTTGCCGCTGTCTTCGAAAGAGTTGCCATACAGGTTTTGCTTATCGTACTGCATGATGTCAGTGAGTCTCTTCGGGGAAGTGATGGTGGGTCGAAGGGACGGTCACTTACGCTTAAGGCGATCCATGAGCTGCTGGTGTTCACTGAGGTGTTCGCGCTCAGAACTAGTGTCTTGGCGGCATCTTCGAAGGTAAGAGTGTAGATGTATGGCGTTCCGAACGTTCCAACCAGAAGCTGATGGCTGAGTGCCGAGATGCATGGCGCGAAGCCGGACAACAGCAGCGCAAGAGATTGAGAAACCATGATTGCTGGAGAAAAGAACTGAAAATGTTGAAAGTGGTAGTGAAGAGAACAAAGTGGACCGCTGGCGGCTGAGACTACGGAAGCTAAATCGGTAGTTGGAGCTTGACTTCTACCTTATTTATTCTTCTCGAAGCATGCGTAGAACACGATTGATGCAATTTTTGGATTGCGAACTCTCCCAAAATTTCATCTCGCCTAGACTTGTTTCTTGGCGTACGCGTTGCTGTCGTTGACAGTGGGGGAGTTTCTGACGATCGTCAGGGTTCTAGGGGTAAATTTTCCGCTGTGAAGCATTGTTTCATCTCGATTTGATGGGGGTTTACCCCGGGAAGGGAGTGTCGAAACATCGCGGAAGAGTGGTGCTGGGCTGCCGGCATGTGGGGGTCTCCAGGGGCAGACGCAATCGCTTCTCCACCATGGGATGACTGGCGTGCTCGTCTTTGGATGGCATCTGGTGCCGAGCGGCCGTGGATGCAATTAGAATTAAACACTTTGACGGTCACGATGTAACCCCAGTGGACTTTATATATCCCCCGAGCCCATAATAGTTGAGACGGGAGCGATGGATCGACGGTTATTTTGGAACGGGCCTTTGCGAAGGGGGAAACATACGATGAACGCCTGGCGTGTCCGAGCTCGTGGGGATGGCACGTTGAGTACGACGCCTTTGGCCTGAATCGCGATTGCTGAAAAGGTAATGGGGTTTACTTGGAGGCTGGATGCTGACGACGTCTCTATTTCACTGAGGGGAACTCCAGACGAAGTTCAGTCACGATGGCTCTTGGCTCAGTCCCTTGTTTCAGGCGAGCGTTGTCCCATTGCTTTTGGTAGAGCTGGGAGCCTCGTGCTGATCGCTTCCATATCAAGCGATGGGTATCAACTCGCTTTCGATGAAGTGTTTGCTCCCTCTATTCCAACGATGTTGAGACTACATCAGCACGACCAGATACGGTTATCACGGCACCGCGAGAGATTCTGCGCTCATTTTGCACATGACGTAGTCACCTCACCCTCTGTCATTGGGTATCTTTCAAGTCATCATTTGCTGCCGAGCGATGATGCCTAGACCAGCGCACCCGTCCCAGTCGCTCTTGGCGCTACCTATATGACAGCCGGGGTCGCGAGAATACAGGGAGTTCTAGGGAGCTAGCAAATGCAGGCATCTTCGCTTATTGGTATGCTGCATCACTAGGTCTGACATTTTCCTCTCCCCAATGAAGGCGTCTACTATTGCTGTATCGTGACGTCAACTTAGCTGCTTGCTGCCAAGAAAGAATGGAGCGAAAGAATTGTCACTGAACTGCGAGGAACATACCTAAAAACGCATCTCTCTTCTTTTTTAATGCATTCATTCTGTCTTCTCGATATCTTTACTACGGCAATTGGCATTCTTCGTTGAGATGGAGAAGATTTTGTCGCCACTGGGGATATCTCATGAACATGGGGTAATCAACACCCCTGCCCTTGCCCACGGGACATCAGAGTTCGTCGTGCAGTATCCGCCGCTTTGGCCACAGCATCGCAGGCTTCAGGGCACGACCATTGCTTTGAGTGTTATGATCCTGACAGCCTGTGGTGTTAAACTATTCGGCACGTCGCGGAAACGCAACTGGAGAGCCAAAGCGGGAGGGTTGCGCAAGACAGATGCGGCGAGGTCCAAGTCATGGCTCTGGGTTCTTGAAAGGCTCTATGTAATGTGAGTTCAGGAAAGATTTCGAAGTGGTCCACTTAGGGAGTGACCATGTTTTCAGTAAAAAGAACCCTGAGTTCGAAGTGTTTCTGACCGAAAGACAGTGACGTTCTGGCATCCATTACCAGAGCATCGTTTGTCCTGTGGATGAGCTATCACGCGGATGTGACGTTGAAATGGAGTGAAAACACTTACACGGCGCTTGCGGCTGTTGACGGGTTCTTTCTCTGCATGACTCAAATTGGAATCGTCTTCATCTTATCAGAGTTTGACGTGCTTTTTTGGGGCCAGCCCGGTCAACGAGTTGAGGGGCAAGGCTTTTGGTACATCCTCCCACGGATTTGCAATTTCTTTGGTTGGATACTGGCCTTTGGGCTGGTTTCTATCCAAACTTCTATTTCAATCGTCAAGCAATACGGTGCTTCTGGTCTCCCATGGTCGGAACAACTCCAAAGCTTTGGGGCAGCCCAGGATGTTGTCACACTGGACATGTTGAAAATTCTCCTCTTCCTCGTCGGATTTCTGGTATTAGCCCCATACTATGTTGTGGTAGGTCACCAAAATGTTCGCAATAATCCTCAACGAAGAGGTCGCTAACATGCGAAACAGGGTGGCCCCTGGCTATGGGCCAACCTGATCACCACCATAACAATATGGACATGGCGACTTGCGAGGGTGGCCGAGAAAAGAGGCCAGGATGAGACATCACAGCTGGTAACGTCTCTTGTTGTGGATTTCTTTTTCTCGCGCATACCTACACTCTTTGCTTTGGCGATGTTCTCTCGCATCTTATCGCAAAGGCGCTAGGGGCATTGCTGCTAGCCAGTCTGCCAGCCCAGGCATTACCTATGATGGAGTGGAGCACATATGTGAAAGTGATTATGATGCAATGACAACTGTAATGAAATGGATTGCGTCTAGTTGGTCAGTAGCAGTAGATAAAGTTCATAGGAAATTTCAAGTAAACAAGTAGGGTGACTCGTTTACTCGGTTGATTAACTTGACGAGAGAGTATTTAGATTTGCGTTGCACCGAAGGACCCATTGAGCTCAGCCCCAGCCGTTCTCCATATGAAAGCGACGTGACCCATTAATCGACAACGACCCAGGCCAAATAGTGAGCAAGATTAAGACCTTGGCTATTTACCCAATCTCCCTGCCATGTAATCCCCATACAAATCGGGTAAAAACGAGGCCAAGTTTGTAAACTCGGTCTGGTCATGAATGAAATGCTCATAGGCAATGTTCTCTCCAGCCATGCGCTTCTTGAAGCCGAGAGCTCCCGCCAAATAGTCGATGCCGACCTTCATACCCATAACCTTGTAGTGAATCCCCCCACCAAGCCAATATCGGCTCCGCAGCTCAAGTCCATCCTCCGTCTTACGCCAGAGGTGCAAGAAGTCACCAATCTTAAGGTTCGGCAGCAACCCGTCCCGCAGCTCCGCACACACAGCCGCCTCATAGCCCGCGGCCTTGAGCTTATCCCACGGCAGGCCGTACTGCGCCGGGTCCACGAAGTGAATGTGGACGGTCATCTTCTGAGACCCGATGAACTCCGTTACACGGTGCGTGGACCCGAGCCACTTTTGCGTGTGGGATAGGTCAGTGCGGTGCAGGCGGTCCGCGTAAGTCGAGCGAGCGCTCAGGTGGTCGTAGGGGAACCAGAGGGCGTAGCGCTCGGGCTCGACGCTGTGCCACCAGAACCACCAGCGCACCATGTCTCCTGTCGATCCTGGGAACCGGGTGCGAGACGTGACGTACGCGGTGCCGTCTGGGAGCATCCGCCAGCCGTTCTCGTGTTTGTGGTAGCCGGGCTCCAAGAGTCGAGGAGAGTCGCCAATGGGGAGAACACCTTCAGCGGGCATTTGCTCGCGGATGTACTGCGGGATGTCGGCGTAGAGGTAGAGCTCTCGGTGGCAGTACTTGGCGTAGAGCTTATCCTTCATCCTGTTCTCATTATGGCGGTAGGCTTTCTGAGTATTAAGAGGATAGTATGTGATTGGGACCTTTTCGGGGTATCCGTTGGCGTCTGGATTTTGCATGATGTTCCCTGTCTGGGCGTCTGTTGGTGATGATGGTGCTGATAGTTGACCCGATATCGCTGACAGACGCGATGCTGTTCTTTGACGCAATTGTCCCGAATCCATGATTCAATAAGCTATTGAATAAGTACGTGATCTCGTGCCGTGATTATTATAAACCCAGATGAGGGGATAGTTATTAGAGAGCTTGAGTTTTATGGGTGCTTGAGAGGGCCGAGTGTTCGAACGCACGAAGGTGGTCAATGGTATGACCTGTGTCGGATGCGCGATTGGCCGAGGTTCACATGTGGTCCGAAGATCGACAGATGATTGGAAAACGGTCGCGCAGCGGAATCACGGTGGTCGGGACAAGCTTCTGCATGGCTTCCGGGATTTCGGCAAGTAACCAAACCTCCGCTTCCCAATAATGACGGTAAAAGTTTATTGGAGAGCCCGTCACTATAGCCAATTCATGACGGATTTTTTATACCCATCGGAGTCGCGAGCATCCAAGCTGATGAGGACGTGATCCCTCGGGTTCGCCTTTGTATTGTTTAGTTGAACTCTACAGTCCGAAAAGGGTGCGCCTTGATTGTGCAACTGACGAGAAAGGCCACGGTAACCTAAAGCTCAATTATCAGTCCTCACAGGTCAGCTACTGCATTGCGCCTTTCTTGCTACTGTGCTTTATTCCTCTCTCGATATGAAATATGTTTCCAGCGGCAGAGAATCTGCCCAACGCAGTTGTTTCAGTCTATCTAAACCTCTCAAGCCCTTGTACAAACATAATCAGACCAGACCATTTCAAACTGTAATCCAACCACACTACCCACCTCGTTTCTACTCATCTCCGTGTTCTTCGATTGATGCCTGCGGCTTTTGGCTATCATCACCCGGCTTCTTTTTGTCCTTCCCGGCTTCCTCGCCCCAGAAGTACTGCAGGCCGTACTCAACCACGGACAAGGTAACCAAAGCGGCTCCAACCATAAGAATTTTCGTATTGTCACCCACAACTGGGTGGTCCACACGCTCCTTCTTATCATCTTTACGACCGGCCTTTTTGCGTTCCCTCATTTCCGAGGGCAATGGGTAGAACGGCATGGGTTCCGAACTGGGTGGAATCTTATATTTCTCTTCGTCATCAGGATCATTGACCGACCCTTTCTCAAGCAAATCCATAGCCCACTTGTAGGCCGGGTAGCCTTTCCCATCAACGGCTATACTGGCTTGGTGTAGCGCATTGAACATGGACCATAGAGCACGAACGACACTCTCCAAAGCGCCCACTACCCAGGCGTGGTGAGATGAAGCAGCCTCGCCTATGAAGTACAGTTGGCCGAGTGCGTTGGGTTTCGCAATTGCAGGATAGAGTTCGCTGAATTGACAAGGGCCAAAGTAGGCGAATGCCCCAGATGCGTGAGGGTCGTGATACCAGTCGTAGGCATGGTGCTCGATGTATTCGCCCGTGATACGGTCCAGAGCTTTTTGGAACTTCTTCTTCTGTGCCTTCGGATACTTCGGGTCCTTCGGGTCCATCAGTTTATTCGGGTCCTCCGGGTCCTTCGGGTCCTCCGCATGGAGATAGGCGAGGTCGCGCAGAAGAAGGTTCTTCAGCTCAACTTCTTCCTGCAATATCTCTTCATTGCGCTTGTTACGGGATTTCGAAGCGATAAGAGCACCGATGCGCTGAGCTGTCTGGCCCCATGTGTAAGAAACCAGTAGAACAGCTGGTTTCTCGATGGGATCTATGTCGTTGTCGATGTTGTAAGACGGGTAAACGCAGACTTGAAGAGGTAAGTCCGTCCGAGCCACCCCTCCATTGGTGATTTTCAAAGGTGTTTCGCGCCACCATGCCGTCTTGAACTTGATGCCAACCTTACAGGAAGCACCATAGCCAAGACACCGAATAGCCTGCTTCGTATCCCAGAGAAGGCCAGCATTGGAAAGATCCATACGGTTAGCAGCAGCAAGGGTTGTAGAGTTGAACACTGCAAAGTATTGACGTGGCTCCAGCGATTCGCCGGTGATGGTGTTCTTGAGGTTGAGTTGCATCTTTCTCCTGACTGTTCGTTCGAGCTGAACATCTGCATCCATTCCCACAACTTGGGTGTTGTATTTGATGATGGAAGGATCCTTCATCTTCTTGCGCATGGTTTCGGCAATCTTTTGAGCACCTCCATCAATGCACCACCAATAGTTTGGTCGTTTATCGCCCGGCTCGAGTGCGTGAAACTCGGGCTCAGCAAAGTCCAGTTGTTCCAAAACTGCTTCTGTCAAGCTTTGGTCATACCAGCCGGTGCCACTGTGGGAAGTTGTAAGCAAGACCCCAGATTGAGGATTTCATGTTGCTCCTGATTTGACTTACTATGTGGCAGTCTCCAGCCATTGAATCGTGCTATAACTATATCCGGGGCCTCTCGGGATAGGCTTGGGGTTTTCCACGCTATAAGATATCGAATTGGTCATTAATGTGTAAAGAAAGATCGGCATGATACTTTTAGACTCACGAGAGTAGAAATTGCCGAACGCTCATCTTATCTGCATTCATGAGCAAGGTCCAAAGCTTCTCATCTTCATCCGGAGTCCTGGCTCGAATGTTGCCGTGTTCGTCCTTCGGCCGAAAACGGTCGTGAACGTCTTTCAAAAATCCTTCGATGGCTTGCTCAAAGAGCGTGGCGGGGTTGGCCTTGGTCAAACTGAGATATTGGAAAGTTGTAAGAATCTACTCCTATCAAACAAGGTGGAAATGAGCTTACTGCGGGGGGATCTGTTGGTCGGGTTTGATGCCTTGGTTCAAGTTGAAAGGGTCAATCTCTGTGCCGTTCCAAGCGTTCCCAGTCTTCTTGACATTGTTAAAGTAGGAGGGGCAAACGCCATTGTCATCATGAAGAAAGTAGGGGACGCGAACAGGCCAATCAGTGGGACTCGTTCTTTCGCCGAGCTCGCCTTCTTTGATGTCAAGAAAGTCAAAAAGGCGAAAGGTCCTAATATGGGTTCAAAGTCAGCTTAAGCACCATATTCGGCTTCAAATCGTAACTAGAAAAACAGTCAGGTATATACCTCTCCATGACCTTGTTCTTCGGGAACCGCATGGCGCCGACGTCGTAGTAGTCGTGCGTGCCGTCTTTGCTGAAACGGTGGGTGTACAATCGCCCTCCAAAGCGTTCTTCACTGGCCGCTTCTAGGATCTCGTAGTCGATCTTCAGATGCCCTGGCCCCATGTATCTCTCAATGTTGTTGTTGATCCAGTCAATAGCAAGACTGGTGAAGAGTCCTGCGGCTCCGGCACCAACAATGCCCACTTTAAAGTGACCATGACGGGGAGGGATAAGCGGGGCTATCTTGCCATCTTTCATCACCTTCTGATTAAGTGCTGGGATGTCCTTTGGAGGTTCAAGACCCTCGACTGGTCCCATGAACTTTTGAGTTTCCTCGCGCGCTATTTCAGTGTCCTTCTGAATCTTGCGGGCGTAGACCTCTTGAGTGTACTCATACTTGAACACTTGCTCGTAGGTTACCTTCGTCGTGACGGAAATCTGCGCATGAGGGGCGTTGGGAGCAGGGTCTTGGGGAGTCATGATGAGTAGTCGAATAGATGTTCGGCAAAGTAAGTGTTGGGTAATGCTACCTGTTTACTTGAATTGCGCAAGTTCGTGATTATCTCGCATGAACAGGTGGACGGACAACAGTATTTGAAAGATTGCATTCGGGCAAGGGGGGATCTCTCATTGCCTTCTGCGGGATTCAGTCCCTGCAGAGTCTGGTTACGTGGCGAGAGTTCATGTCTGTCGAATCATTCCCGCAGATACAATATCAGCTGAGGATGCTGCTTTCGGTTGAAAATCAAAACGATACCGTATGTTTACGTTCCGTCCATGGCATTGGTTGTCTTACGAGACGGCATTACTGTCCCGGCTTTGACAGTACGTATGTGGTTTACTCATCACATTCGTGGAGAGCTGATGTGGTACAAATCTTATATGTAGGGTCGCTCCATTTGCAGACATTTTTACTGCCGATCCGCGAATCATACCGAAAGAAGGGGCATTGAAGGTATTTGTTGTTGAAAACGGGCTGGCTGAAGAGCTGTTTATTGAGGCTTGGCATATGCAGGACTCCTCGACGGGCTAGCTCAGTCTGGTCTAGCTACCTCTTGAGTCCTCAGCTGAGCCACGAGACATATTCTAGACTCACTTCAGCTGCATCAAATATGCTTGCATGGCATCCTTTTTGTCTCCCTCTCTTCCTTTTGATACATGCAGCCGTTTGATTAGTTGCTTTTGTACTAACAGCGTGGATATGACTGAGTAAGGTACCTAGTAGGGATTGCTAACGCCTTTGCGGGGTCGGGCCGCTCCCTAGTGGCGTTGGTAAATGAAACCTTTCGGCTAGCACACCGCTGTTCTGAGACAGGAATTTGATCCGAAAAGCCAAAGAATGGTTCATGTCACCTACATCACTCAAACGCCACCTATCAGTAGCTTAACTAGGCAGGATACGCCATAGTATGAGGGCCAAATGGGTAGCGATCTTCTCAGTCGTTTATGTCTTTTTGAGACCGACGAAGGGCCTTGAAGTCGTCAGAAACGGCTGGAAGAATGGACTGATCTGACAATCGTGAATGACATAACTGAATGTGTGAAACGCCAGATGAAAACATTGGAAGTATACCTGTCATAGGGCGATGTTACTATACATGAAGACGTATATTCACGCGGGATGAGTATCTACAAATGAGAAACATCCATGAGATGAAGTCAACAAAGGTGGATTACGGAAGGGACGATTTGTGATTCTCAAGCTTGAGAATACTGCCACAAGATGATGCCGTTGATCAAATATTGCTTACAATGACGATGCTTAGCAATTTAGTCTACATCGTTCTGTTGCTTTACACGTAAGTTGAAGGCATTCCCGTGCACTCTTAATATTGAGCTTGGGGCTTCCATGGGTAGCATTTGTCCGACAGAACGCTTAGTGATGCGTCGAGTAGACTAGCGATGTTAGGTACCCTATCTGAGCGAGGTAAATTATCATGAAAGAACTGAAGTCAGAGCTCGTGCGTTGCAACAACCTAGTGTACGTCTCCCATCAGAAAACTTGAGAAGTACATTCTGACTTAGGTTTTCCTGTCCTTCTCTGATGAGCTTGCAAAAGGATTATACAACGACCGTGGATTACAAAGAAGATGCATAACCGTTACCAAATTTATTCTCATTCCATTTGCAAATAATGCTCTTCGAGGAATATAGCCTAAATGGGAAATCGGCGGATTACGGCTAGTTCTTACCCACGTCTTGTCTCAGTTCCCATCCACGCAACAGACACAACGTAAATCTTCATTCGGAGCTAGATCACCGCTTCCGTGCCTTAGCTGTGACGTCTGACGACTCTGCGGGGTCGGGCCGCAGACCGCCTCTTCAGCCGACAGCCAGCCACTCGTGACTAGCTTACGACTGGTTTGAAACATGTCAGCCCTTGCCACACTTGCAAGATTAGGTAGACACCATGAACACCAGTATAACGACTGAAATGGTAATTCTACCGCACAGTGTCTCCTCAGCCACGTTTCAATGGTTTGGGGAGACAGGTACTGCTGCTCGGGTACTGTTCGGTACTCCTAGAGGTGAAGGTCGGTTTCCAAATATACTGTGATACCTAACGATGATTAGAGTACGCGCATGACTATGACATATTGATGTGCAACCTTGATTTCAAGCATTTTATGGTCGACATAATTACCTGGCGGGGGAAGCTTTTTCATGTCTGGACATAAAAGATGGCGACTTAGGTGAGCTTGCATCATATGAAAGATCTAGCCCCTTTTTGCCCACTCAAATGACGCATTTAAGCCACTGGTTCTTCCAGGAAACAAGAATGAAATGCCATAACCAGGCAAGACATGGGATTCTCGGCAACTGCAGACTGATGTGAATGTTGTCATCACAAAATGCGCACTGTAATAATTCGTAGTATAGGTACCTACCTAAGATATTTATCGATAGTATGGTGCTAAGAGTTCTTTCATACATTTAGGTGTTTTGTCCCTAGACTGGGGCTCAGGACTAAAGACATCGTATGAAAGTAATTGAAATGGATTGACTGGGGAGATCTTGATGTGGTGAAACGTATATAACCTGAAAGACACAAAGAGACTGGGTACATGCATGGATTAACTAACGTAAACGTGTCCCAAGTCATCTTGAACCTAAGATGAACCTATTGTGGGTGATTTGAATGCTTAAAGCTTTTCTACTGGTAGTACAACATTATCTCCTGAATCAGTGTCAGGTTAGGTTCCGCGCAGAGTGCTAGAGTCGTCGATTTCCCCTTAGGTATAGGTTATGACTTTTATTCGAACCTACCCTACTAGGGATTTATGCGAGGGGACCCTTAAATCTTTGCTAGGGATAACTATAATCCGCTCCGTAGTGGTCCACCCGGTGCCCCACCGGTGCCCCACCGGTCCTCTCGTTCCCGCGCGTGACAATCAGCGTCTAATTGATGCCAATGATCCAAACCTTGACGTTGTTACTCCTTTTGAAAGACTCCAAGGATGCGTTTGGACTTCCTGCAGGCTGCTGGGCCGCAACCGGCCTGTCTATACCTCCAAAGCCGGTAGAAAGACAATCTCCCAACTATATGATAGGGTGTTCAAAATCAAATTCTCATCTCCGTTGCGCTATGTCATTTGGCTGATGCTGTTCGCCCGAAGATAGGCTTGGGCGATCCTCCGTCCTCTTCAATACTCGGCCTTGGGTCCATTCCCGCGATCATGCTTTTCCTTCTCTTCTCAAGAGATCTCTGGGCTATCTTGATAATTATGTTTTGTCCGTTTGTCATATCGCTGCGGGCCGTTGATTACCGAGCAGCCGCCGGAAGCATTCCTTCTGGCATCAGAACGTCGACTAATAACGCATCAGCGACCAGTACCCATCATCAAACCACGTCCTCGACATCACAAATTCCAACCTTCAAACTTCATCAGCTTAGGAGTAGAAAGGCACGTCCGTGGGGACATCTGTGTCCCATGCATGATACTTGTATCAATAATACAGCTGTGGCACTTCTCTCTTCCAGCCCCTCTGTCGCCTCTGTGGGACAGAGCTTGCATGACGGCGCAAATACTACTGCCTTTGGTTTCTCAAAGCGAAGGTCAACAAGCACTCCGTCTACAATCCGGCTCAGAAACGGTATCAAGACAGTGTACGACACGGTCATCGTCACGTTCGACCCAACTCCATCATCACTCGTCACATCGACGAGGTCTCACAATGAAAATACAAAGTCCGGCTCCAAGTCAAATATCATCAAGCCGACATCAACCACACAGCCGCCGCCCCCAGCTCAGCCGTCAGAAGCGGTCTACATATTCTTTGACTGGGCTGTCTCGTCCGTCATCACGACCACCACATCCGGTGGGAAGTTTGTCATGCTCCCTCGTCTCACAAGCCTCGACGATAAGACAATCCACGACATTTGCAAAGACGAGGCTGCCGGAAGCATGGTTGCTGGTATGAGAACCTCTCCTGATGCCCCTGGACTGCCCCCGAGTTTTCAGGCCAGCCAGGACATTTACGGAAAGAAGGGATGCAAGTACATTAGTGGGTACGAGACAAAATCTGCCGGAAGATTCAAGTGTGATGACATCCCTGAATTCGAGTGCATCACAGATCCTCAAGAGGATGAGCATATCGACTGTCCAAAGGCAGAGACACAAGAAAGGTTCTATGTGCCTAGGGTGAGATGTTTCTTCCCCGTTGGAATATGAGTCACAGGCTTTGGAATATTTTTGATTTCTATTTTCATTATAATTATCGTGTCTATATCTTAGCGCAACAGAGCGACTTTTTCCACACACGTTACATGAGACGCAATCTTGCGTAGCGTCTCGTCAATCCAAGGCTTTTTTTGGCGAATTCCACGCTTCATTTCTTAAGAGGAGCAAGCAAAGCTGAAGCGAACGCCCTGGTAAGGGGCCTTCGAGCAGCTCGCGTAGTTCTCGCCCTCAACCACCGCAGGCACGCAGGTCTGGATGGTCCTGTTTGTAGCCACGTCGACGACAGCGGTGACCTCGGGTTCAGCGTAGAGAGGGATGTTGTCGTCCTCGCAAGCCAACTCGAGGTTGTAGTACGTCGTGTTTGTCGCGTCGTCGGTGACGTTGAAGGGGTTGCGGCAGATGGGGTCGAAGACGTAGGTGTTGTAGGCACGGATGGAGGTCCAGGTGGCGGTGCCCTGAATGGCGCCAGAGGTGTCGCAAACCTCCTGGACGTCGGATGTCTTGGTGGGAGTGAAAGGAGACCAGGCGATGAACAGGTTTCCGTGGGGGTAGGAGAAGTAGCCCAGGTTGATGGGAGGGTAGGAGGTATTCAGGGCCGAAGCGAGAGCCACAAAAGAGGCGCCGACGAGAGTGGTGAGTTGCATCTTGACGGATTTTAGTGAAATATCGACCGGCGTCAATGGGACAGTCTTGAAGATCTTAGTATTAGAGGCGTTGAAAACGGGAGTTAATGATCGCTGTTCAGCTGGCACTTGGTTGTTTAAATACTTGGAAATTTTTAGATCTGACCTGACGTCGGCTTTGCATCTGTTCGCCTCAAGAGCCGTTCCTAGCGTGGTGTTAGCGGTGCATGGTGGTTGTTCCTTTCCGCCTCCTTTCTGTGCAGTTGTTGATGGGCTAGACAGGGGTAGGTACCGGCTAGAACCCTATCACTGACCGACTCGGATAGGCTGGCGTTGGATTTACAGGCTGGCTAGCTTGCGAAAGTCCCAACGGGCTATTTCGCTAATGCCCGAGAGGCTTGTCACAGTCGATAAATGTCAACGTTGCGTGCCGATTCGATTCTTCCGTCCATTGTTTGTTGGCAGAGCAGACCGTTGCGCTACACAAGCTTCGTAACGGCAGTTTACGCTATCCAGATGTGGCACAGCGCGGCAATTACCCTGCTTTTCCAAGAGCTCTAGAACCGGCTTGACCAAATACGAGCAGCTGAATGCCGGGGCGTCTAGGCTGCCGTTTGTCCTGTGGGGGCAGCATGCAATCCTCCTCGTGTTGAATTGCTGGCGGCCCACTGAAATCACCTTTCTTTTTCTGATCAATCATCGGCCAGCTAAGCCATGCTCCATCAAAACCCGATCGAAGCGCCGAGGCGGCCGCCCCGTGGATATGAGAGCCGATCAGCCGATGGAAACAGAGGCATCGTCAGGGTCCAAGAAACAGCTGAATGATGATGCGATTGTTGATATGAGAGAGAATAGCATTTAAGAAGCCTACTGACGTAATCAAATGACCCTGAACATATTCGACTTGACTCCCCTCTTCAATCCCTCCGCCTTTCCATTCTCATACTCAACTCCAGCAGCGCCACCTTCACCAGACATACCCTCAAGCTTCAGTCGCAGCTCTTCATCCAACTCTGCCATTGTCTTCTTTCCCTTGGCCGTCGATTCTCGCGCTTCTCGCGGTCGCTGAGATAATTCAGATGGCGGGGTGTTTTGGGTTTGGTGAGTTGTCGCGGCGGTGGACAAGTGGGCTGACGCGATAGCAGCTCTTGACGCGACCGAGCAGCGTCTTGCTGCGGCAAGAAGACAACCAGGCGACGCTTTTCGCATCATTGCACTCATGTTGATGATAATCTTGTGTAGTAGATGACTTTCGGGGTCTTTTCCAAGTTGTCTGACGGTGCTGTTGATGGTAGAGTTTAAGTTCGGCGATGAATTTGTTCATCTTGTGGTGATATCATCATTCCACAATTAATGTTTCCTAGGTGGTCTGTGCTTCTAACTGGCGAAGGCATCCATCCATGGATCCTTCTTGGGTTGCCCGAACATCGTGACCGCACGAAGCATGACAACCTGGAACGCAACGTACCAGTTCTTCGGTGCAGAGCAAGCCCAAACCTCTTCTTCTCCTTTTACGACAAGAACTCTCCACCGCAGATTTGCGTCTTCTCAGACCGAAGTCCCAGCTGCCCCCCAATCTATGAACGTTCTCTTTTTCAGCCAGACTGCGACCTGGGCCTGAATGACTGAGTACCTGTTGGGTCAGTTGAGTGAATTCGAGATTCGAGCTGCAGGCAGCGCAATAGCGAGGGACTTTGGTGATAATGCACCCCATTGATCAGCGAGGCCCTACCCACTGAGTAATTTTCCGACTCTACCGCCTAGGCAATCATCTTGTAGCTCTCAGCTCACGCTGATCAAACCGCCCTGTCTGTGGCGGTGTCGCTGTCCCTTAGTAACCCAAGCTCCGTTCAGTAGCAAGGGGTAGATCCTTAGCGCTCATGTTTGCCAATGACGACAGCCTTTTAGCCAGCTTTGCCCCGTCTCACAGCGTCTTTGAATGCCTTACAGGGCACACTATTTTGCTTGGCGACTGTGCTGTCACCCTGAAAAAGGCATGAAGATTGCAACTCACATCACAGCCACACGTCGTTCCCGTGAGAAGCGGCCGCCTTCTGCAAGCAGTCGCGCGCTCATCCGAAGAAGAATGGTTCAGGAGAAATACTTATTCTCCCCCAATTCCTCACCTAGGGCATCATGAACACGTTCTGCACGCCTTCAATTCACCCTGCCGAACCCCGCTGAAACAACAGATTTTACTACACACAACTCCACTGAGCCTAGTATCGCCTATCATGTCTTCCATGCTCGATGTCGGCGATGTTCAACCCCCTGCCTACGATGACACAGTCAACGAGTCGAGAGCGCAGCTGAGCTGCGGCGAGACTCCGACCTTCTATCTGGACCGCACGACCATCTTCGCCAACACGGACCCACCACGTGCGCTGTATGAGCTGAGCAACGACGTTTGTGAGGCCAAGTCGGTGGTGTATGGGGTTCAGAAAGTGGCGTACAGGGTCACACAAGCAGCTGGCGGAGACAAGGTCAGGACTCGGCTGGACCACATTTACGATTTCTCGCTCGACCCCCTTGCAGGGCTCGAATCTTCAAAGCTCGCCGATGCGGTCGTAATCGAGGGAAAGATGAACTCCAAGAGAACACACAAGGAGATTCATCTCGTGCCCGGAGTCTCTTCGTGGAAGGTCAAAGACCACTTCAAAGCTGGGGAGAGCGTCATGCATAAGCTGAAGCACGCCGATGAGATCCAATGGAAGAACACGAAGGGCGAAGTCATCGCCGTTGAGACTGTGGCAAAACGCGACGCGCAAAAGAAGTTGAGCTGCTTTCCTCAACTTGAGATTAAGCTTGCCATGGATGACAAGGAGATGGATCTTTTGGTCACCTCGTGGATGGCGCGCGTGTGGCGTCAGTCTGCCAGTGAGTTGAAGGAACCAATGAATTGGCAAGATTGTGAGTATTCCCGACTCAAATAAAACGATCGCTCTGCTGACAATAGATATGTAGTCAAGACTATGTCGAAGAACGCATTTGGAACCAAAGGAAATCGCTTCAGCGTCTGGGATCTCAACCCGGGGAAGCTATTTTAATCGTGCAGTCGGATCCAAGGTCAATGTGGCACACGTGGACGATGGAAAACGTGCTATGCGTTGGATGATGTTCTTTAGAGGTGTTCTAGATACCCTTTTATATGATTTTATAGTCTCCGCCGCCCAAGATTGAAGCATTACTGCTAGGCAGTCCGTTGGTAGCAATAGAGATGGTGCTTGCAGGGATCAAGCTCTGGAGCCACCTCTCAAATGGGCCAATTTTCAACACCACAGGCAAAACGCGTCATCGTTCAACTTAGAACCATCCTGTCGGTATGCGCAGGATCCTTATCACTCGCATTGTGTCGTTCCAACAAGGACGACATCCTTGAAAACACTCGCCAAGCACGTGGCCTGACGGTGCGGGGCAATGAAACGGACTTGTTGGTGTTGCTGATCGTACGATGGCACACCTGATAACTATTTCCGCCATGATGCCGGGGAGAGTTCCGGATCTCGCAACTTTGGCACGGCGGAAGTAACGCCACAAGGAGGGGGCCATAAGTAGTACATCACCGTGCTTCCGTTCGTCCAGCATTAAGACGAGAACTCAACCACTACCTCCCATCATCCCAAATTCATTCTTCATCCACACCTCAAATCGAATATCAACAACATGCGAGCGGCAAGATACTACGGCAAAGAGGACATCCGCATCGAACAGATCCCGGAACCTCCCTGTGGACCCAACCAGATCAAGGTAAGACGAAGCTCCAGCTCCCTCCGCACTGTCATCCAGTCTCCAGCAACCTTCAGCACCCCGCGCGGGGAAAACGCATTGCAACACAGTGACATTTTTTCTGGAGTTGAACCCTGAACTTACCACCTCTCGTACCCCAGATCGCCCCGGCATTCGTCGGAATCTGCGGAACCGATCTCCACGAATACCTCGGCGGCCCTAACTTCTGCCCCGCATCCAGACACCCCGTCACAGGCGATACCATCCCCGTCACCCTCGGCCACGAATTCTCAGGCATCATCAAGGAAATCGGTTCTGATGTGAAGGCTGAGGGCAACATCAAAGTCGGCCAGCCGTGCGCGGTGCAGCCGACGGTCTACTGCGGAAAGTGCGCCGCCTGCACGAGCGGAGCGGAGAATGCGTGCCACACCGGCGGCTTCATCGGGCTCAGCGGCGGGGGCGGCGGGCTGAGTGAGGCGGTTTCCGTGCCTGCTGACCAGGTGTTCCCTTTGCCCGACGGCGTGCCACTCGAGCTGGGCGCGCTGGTGGAGCCGCTTTCAGTCTCTTGGCATGCCGTGTCAGCCGGGAACGTCACGCCTGATTCGACGGTGTTGATCATGGGCGGCGGACCGATCGGGCTTGCTGCGGTTCTGTGCTTGATTGCGAAGGGAGTGAAGAAGATCATCGTCTCGGAGATTGCGACTGCTCGCCAGAACTTTGCGAGGGAGTTCGGCGCCACTGACATTATCAACCCGAAGGAGCAAGATGTTGTCAAGGAAACGTTTGCGATAACAAATGGTATTGGCGCAGATGTTGTTTTCGACTGTGCTGGGGTACCCGCTAGGTAAGTTGCAGCTCTTGGTCCCGCTCAGAGGCTACTGACTAACGCCTCGCCAGTGTTCAGGCTGCATGTCTCGCAGTGAAGACCCGAGGAACAATAGTCAACGTAGCTATTTGGGAGAAGGAAATACCCTTCAACCCCAACTGGATCACGTGGCGAGAGAGCTCGTACAAGTCAGTCTTGGGTTATCAAAAGGCAGACTACCAGGCTGTCATCGACAACCTGAGAACTGGTAAGTAAATAGCACAACTTTCAGGAAAGCCACCGGCTTACAAAACGGATTAAGGGGCTCTAAAACCAGCATCGATGATCACTCGCAAGATCCCCCTCGACGACTTGATTGATAAGGGGATCAAGGCCCTCATTACAGACAAAGACAATCAAGTCAAGGTTTTGGTTGATGTAAATGCGAGCTTATGAGAAAACATCTGATATCGGCCGTTTCATATTCTTGGAGTTGCAGTGATAGTAATCATTTTGGGAATATTTACAGCAATGTTATGCCACGATTTCTATTTCATGGCAATGACGGGATCTCTGCTTATGAGGGGACTTCTCATTTGTGCAGAAACATCCACACGTGCCTTCCGTCATGATGACGCTCTACAGCTTTAAGTCTTGCTGCCCTCGTCGTCGTTGTTTTGGACCGTTATTATTATTATCATCTTATCCTTTTCATCGATTTCATTAATTTCATTATGAGTGTGACTAGCCGGACTATTTGTTTTCTATCATTATCATCCGCCGTATAAGTAGTTGGAAATATTCGAAATGTAAGGTAGGTACATAGACGGAGAAAAGTGGGTGGTCTGTAAGTACATTTTCTTCATCTACCCTATTTATAAACTTACTGGGAATCTCATGCAAATGAAAGCGGCCGAGTGTACGTCATCCAGTGGCCTGTATGGAATTATGGCCGGGAAGTGCCGCAATCATCAAGTTCAGGTCTGGCTTCCTTCTGGTGAACGCACTCCTAAATCATACATGCCTGTGGCTGGCCATTTATCCATCAATTTCAGACTTTGACAAGCGATCACTGGGACAGATTCGAATCACAACCCTCGCTGACTTGGATTCAATCTTGCAAGTGCCTCCAGGGTCAGATTAGCCGCGCCTCATGTGAAGCCTTAGGCAGAAGGATGACATGAGAATGAAGTAACAATCTGACACCGGCGGTCCCTGTTGTAGCAACCCGCCCTTACCAAATGCAGACTTACGAAAAATTACATCCAGATGTCTGTCGCACAAATGGGGACTCTCCCCTGTGGGACATCCCGAACTTATCAGATTTGCAGTTTGCTGCTTCGAGCCGATTGGTGGCCTTTTCTTCCAGCTCTTCAAATGGCGCCTGGGTCAAAGAAAGAAAAGAATTCTTGTGTAACTCCCCTTTGGAACTTTTACAACTGCCGTTCTCTCCTGTACTACACTTCCAGACTCCTCTTCACATGGTCGCAATGTACTAGGTAGTCGACATTGGAGATGACCGTCCCTTTCATAGAAATATCCATTCACCGGGGGTTCAGTTCATCCGCCACTGTAGTTATAACGACCGGGGACCGGCCTCGCGGACCACTATCTCCGATCAAGTTCCAATTCATTCTGACATCGTCTGCAATGGCATACGCCACAGCTGTACGTCCGAGGCAGAGCCTACATTGCTGTTCCAAAGTTCCTTTCTGAGCATACCCTGCGATTCCAAGAATGGAAGGTAACTTCCAATGTTCAGCTGTCCCCACAAGGCAGCCGTCAACTGGATCCTAAATCACAACCCCTCAGCTGACTGGCGTCTTGGCACCACAACCAATACGGTTAACAGGAGGCTCGATGCAACCATCCAACCTATACACATACTTAGCGGCAACGTCCTGACAAAGCAGCGATCAACCGAGGGAGCGGACGTACGACGATTGCCTCAAGGGATGACTTGTTTTCGGGATGTATGAAAGTCGAGAATGGGTGCTTACAAACCGTATTGAAACTAAATGGATATTCGCCTTCTGTGCATGAAGGGCCACCTAGCTTCAACTAGCATCACTACCAGGTAATCAACAGTTCATCAAAAATTGCCCTGGTACATGTAGATACTATTGTACATGCCGCTGTCTGATCCTGCTCTTGAATAGACGCGTTCAGCAGTTGCACAAACCTTTTTAAGGAAAAATTGCCTCTCGAGAGACGGTTGTGCATGATGACAGCGTACAAAGTGAAAGCTTGAAACTGAACTGATTGGTTTTGCAGCAGGTAATGCAAATGCATGGGTGGATATCGGCCTCAGAGGGAGTTAAGTTCCAGAAACATCGATGACTGTGCCCGATGACAGCATTTCAGGGTTGCAATAAGTGCTTAATCCTATCAAGCAACTGACTATCGATGCCATCTGCAGCCTACTCAAGCGTTGACCGGTGCTTCCGTGCCCATGCGATGCTTACTTTATTGATCATCAGCACTAACATCGGTCACGCAGGCTGCGAGAAGTTTGTGCACGAGCTAATCACAACCTGCCGTGTCTTGCTGCAACACCTTGCGATGTCCATGCTGCGCCTTCGACATGCTGTAGTCCAGGACCTTTGGAGTGGGATCGGAAGAACTTTGGAGTCAACGATATCATACAATATCAATTCAAACTGAGTCTCATGGAAGTTTTTTTCATTCCTGATTTTATCTATAAAAGCCTCGAACATTCCCGTAGAAGTCGATTTACTTTTCACTCATCCACAGCACTACCAATCTCATCTTCATCTTCTTCCTCCAGGAGTCAAAGTTCACAATGTTCGGCCTCAAGACCACTTCAGTTGCCCTGTTTGCCTTGTTCAGCACAGTCTCCCTGGCTGTGCCGACATCCAGCGATGCGGGTGTGCTTTCGGCCCGCCAAATCGACACCAGCGACTGGGTTCCCTTCGAGTTCCAGGGCAAGACACTCAAAGTCAACCCTGCTGCTCTCAATATTACCAAAGCGCCCGGTGAAGTTTCCGTTAAGGTCATCACGAACGACTGCTGCGGTGGTAGCAGCTTTGTCGGCACTGGAGCCCCGTACCCCAATGTTGGCGACTGTGCGGTCATTCGGGATTGTAAGTCAACGGCATAGTACCTAGTTCAACCCTCTGAACATAGGTGCTCCATACGCAGATGTTTAGTACTTTCAGACCTTGAGAATGACTGACCATGATGTGTAGGGGCCTACACACTCAACCAGTACTGGTCTATCTGGACAAACACCCCAGACTACCACGGTGTCGTGGTGTACGGCACTTGCGTCTTTGGAGCTGGCACCAGAAATACCTATGACACTTACATTGGATCATCCGATATTGGTGACCTCGTTCGGGATGCCATCAACGGCCACTCTGTACGTTCCCTATGATCTGCAGCAATCCTATTCCAAATCTTTGACTGATGCAATTGGCAGAGCAACGGCGTCGTCAATTGTGCCGGCGACATGGGATGTGAGAACCAGTGCACACAATCTGGCTGCCCGTTTTCCGGACGCTCGGCTGTATTCTGGAAGATGCAACACAACTGATGTGACCAATCATAGCCACATTGGCAACATGATTGAAAAGGCGATGCAAATTTCCTTTACAACGTAACACACAAGAATGTCTTTGGACGGCAGGCGGCCTTATTTGTGGAAGATGAATGGGTTCCATTGGACTGTATGCTCGTGTTTTAGTAGCCCTGCGCTGTGTCTTTCAACAAGGCCAGCTAGCGCTGCCTGAATATGATGTATCTTATTGAAACAAGCCTTGCATTATCTCTCTAATTTTGATGCCCTATCAGTAGCTGACCCGAAACTCGACTGTCTCTTTCTCGTTTTCATCGTAGAGGACCTCGCGGTCTCTGATCCACTGGAACAAGCAAGATCCGCAGGGGCTTCTGACCCCAAAGGGATTCACCTCTACAAGCTCAACTATCCGGGTATCTTCATCATAGAGGAGGTCAAAGGACATCCCCTGTGCCATCATCATCCTGTCGTTCTCATCTTCGCTCTTCAAGTCCGCCAAGATCTGCTGTCTGGTGTGTTCCGCCTGCTGACAGATTCTGCGAATGATGGCGTTCTGCTCGCTTTCTGGACTAGTCGCAAAGCGCCACGGCTTGTGCCAACGGTACTGGCTGATGCCAGTGACCCTGCAATCGCCAGTTCGACAGAAGACTCTGTACTCCCGTTCCGAAGCCATACGCGGGTCAAAGGGTAGAAAGAAAAGTTCGACTGTTTTCATGCTGTCAAGACAGTCTTCCAGCGCAGCGCGGCATCGACCTGAGGTGACGATTCTGAGGATGATTTCATCGACTGAGTGGAGTGACATTTTTCCGGGCACCTTGTGTGCTCCGTCTTTCGGTGAGCAAGCATCCAGGCGGACAAAAAGACCCTCGGGAGGGAAGCGCAACGTTGAGAGCGCCGGCGCGATCTCTTCGTTGAGATCTTCAGCCATCGTGAGATTGACTCGCTTGACTTGAATGGAGGCGCTGCAGGCTTCGTAAAGTAGGCGGGCTTGCGACCGAGTGAAGCTGACTTTCTGGACGACGTCGGGGCTTAGGCTTCGTGAAGCAAGGATGAGTGGCAACCACCTTTCGTAGGAGTATGGTTCGTTCGAAGTCCTTTCCTTATCGGGGGCCTCATCTTCGGAGTGGAAGCATGTGTTGAAATTTGTTGGCTTGCCAGTGTCAACGTCGCCCTCGACTGCAGAGAAGTCAATCAGATTCTTGATCCACTGCATCGTCGCGGAAGATGTCGAGACTGTTATGTTTTGGTGATCAGGCGAAGGCTGCTGGTAGCGTTGTATTTTTGGTTTGTTGTTTATAGACATCATAGGCCAAGGACAACGAACAGTCATCTTTTTGAGTTGTATCAGTGAATCGGAGAAAGTGCGACTGCCCACAAAGGTCATCAACTACTCAGGTACCCAAAGACCTGGTCAAGTGAATGGGCACCCAAACTAGGAAAGAACTCAAAATCCAGCCACAACCAGCCTAATGCGTCAATAGGTATGGGAAGATTGGGCTGCAGTTGAGCTCAAAACGCGCAGTATCTTCTGAAAGATTTAGGAAATGTATGACGATTTAATAGGTGCACGTCAGCTCCAAAGTTGGGCGGGACAGGAGATAAAAAATATTTGAAAGCTTTTTGCCTACTTTTCAAGCAATGATTTTGGTTTACATTCGTTCTAAAATCTTTGAACATATCAACTAGTTTTACCCGGAAGTCTGTCAATCCAAACTCCCACATGCGTCGTCACTAGCGGCAGAGACAATGCTCACTGCGACGTAGCGGCAACTTTTGAATAGATGAAGATGTCCCAATTTGCTTCATAGGTTCTTCCATAGGACGACTAAGCGGTAGAATCTTCGTGAAAACCATGGCTGTGTTGGAATACAGACGCGAGCAATTTATCACCCTTCTTGGCAACTATCTGAGATATTCG